TGCATAGATCGAAGTGATCCGGGGAATGATAGATCAGTCAGGGATTTTAGATCTTTTGGATTCGCCTCCAGACCTCCGATCGACACTGGGTGTCCCAGATATCCTACCTTATCCATGCCCCAGAAACTCTTCGCCACGCTGATCGATAAGTTCCACTTATCGCAATCATCCAACAGCACCCTTTGGCACATTTGATCCCACGATTCTGCTGCGATCATGATGTCGTCAATGTATGATCTCCGTCCCAACACTGACTCTCGCTCGGGATCGTCCGCGATCCCTGTCTGGAACACGTCTGTTGTAGTCCCAGCGTCGCCGGATTGCGAGATCTTTAAGAATCCATACAGCGCGTTGTCTACGAGGCGTTGATAGATCTGCGGGGCATTCTTTAAGCCGAAAGGCATGCGACTCCATTCGAACAATCCAAAATGGGTGATAAATGCTGAGATCTCGCAAGCCCGATCCGTCATGGGTACGACCCAGAAGCCGCTGGCCATATCCAGCGAGCTACCGCTGGCCATGTCTAGCGAGCAGTACCATAGTGCCTTGTCCAGATCATCTAGCAGATCGCTGATCAGGAGCATAGGGTAGACCATCAACCTCGTGAGGCTGTTTACCAACTTGTAGTCGATGCATAACCGGATATCCACACCGTTACTCTTGCGAACAATCACGATCGGTGAGGCCCATGGTGATGTCGAGGATCGGATGATCTCGGCTGCCAGGAGACACTTGATCAAGCCTGCGACTTTTTCTCGAAATCGCGTGGGCGCTTTCCGGGTTCGCATTGCGATCGGTTTCGCATTTCCTACAGCGATGTGCCCTTAGCCGCCGGGGGTAAGGCGTTCCCTTTACCGATCAGGAGGTGTCGTTTCTTCCAAATGATCTGCCGGAGCTTCTCGATTTCCTCGGGCGTGGCCGATCCGGAGTCTCCCACCTGCAGATCCTCGATGCTGACCTTCGCGGTCGTCGAGATCGGGATTTCGGGGAGGACAGCAAGGTTTCCCTCGAGATCTTCAGCTGAGAGATCGCTACTCTCGTGGTAATATATCTCATCCTCGTCCTCGGATCCTGTGGGGTGGTCGCTGCTGCTCCTTCCGCCAGCGGATCTCGTAGGTCGACGCCCTCGGTCGGGTGGATCGGGGATTTAACATCGAAGACTTCGCCGGGATCGAGTTTGATCTGGGTTTGACAGTTCAGATTTTCCGTTTTCGGCTCGATATCCTTGATGTCAGTCCGATTTTCCGTCTTGATATCCTTGGTGTCTGTCCGACCGGTGGCCTCTCTCACTTATCCTGCCGCCCTCAGCCTCGCCGCTCAGGTATCGGTCGGCATCGGGGCTTGTCGTTGGCGTAGATGGATGGTCCCCTTCCTGGATCGGGAGATTCTGCCTCGATCTGGGCTGCGTTGGCAATTCCCGCCCTCGGTCGAGATTCTATGGTCGATATCAACGTTCGATCTTTGTCGATATCAGCAGTTTCTGCCCGCCGAAGTATCGATCGTGGCGTGGGATACGATGGTCGTTGTACTGCCGGCTCCGAGGGGTCCTCCATGAGTTCTGGGGGGCTCCGATCTAGTATCTACCGTCGATTCCAATGCCAGATTCTGCCATTCCCGGTAGCGACGTGAGACACGAACCCTGAGGATCGAGGCACTTTGTCCTGATCCAGTATCATACCAACGTCCAGACGGTGGTCCATCCGTAGGATCTCTTCTCCGATGTTCGAGATCACCAGGTAGCGGATCCGACCGGGGCCTTCCGTCACTGTCGGTACCCATCGTTCTCCCCTGGTCACCCACAATTTCTCTGTGGCCGACAATTTTATCCTCGCCGCTGTTTCTTCCGACCGGCCAACCTGGATTCGTAGAGATCGTTCGAGAATCACTGATCTCATCTTCTTGCCATACAGTCTCTTACGACCATTAAGCGGTACTCCAACCTCGTCACGTAATCGCATCGATCCGTCCGCGAGGTCCATCCGTACACCGACTGGGACCATGAAATCCATGCCC